ATCAATTGTACTCCCACTGTCCCCTTTGCATATGAGCTCTGTCTCACGAAAGACTCCCCTTCGTGCTACGAAGACCACATTTTCACTAGGTCTGTTAAACAAATATCCAAAGGACTTTTGTGGATAGCCGATGAAAATAAATCGCTCACTTCGAGATTCAAGCTTTTTGTGAGTCTCTTGTCTAACGAAAGCTTCACAACCCAAACCTTGATATGTGCAAACGAGGGAACTTTCCTTGTCCACATCTCGTGAGGTGTTTTGGCAACCTTCTTTGCTGGGACTAGATTAAGAATATAGGCAACAGTTTCTAAGGCATACCCCCATAATGATATCGGAAGCGAAGCTCGACTCATTATGGAACGAACCATGTCCAACAAGGTTCGATTACACCTCTCAGCCACACCATTAAGTTGCGGTGTCCTAGGAGGTGTCAATTGTGAAACAATTCCACATTCCTTGAGGTGGTCGTGGAACTCGATACTAAGATACTCATCACCCCTATCGGATATGAGCATCTTGATCTTCCTGCCCAATTGATTTCTGACTTCATGTTTGAATTCTTTGAACTTTTCAAAGGTCTCTGAGTTATGCTTGATTAAGTAGATATATCCATATCTGCTATAATCATCGGTAAAAGTCACATAAAATCGATTTGCATCCCTTGTGGTGGATCTTAAGGGCCCATACACATCTGTGTGTATGAGATCCAACAATCCTTCACCTCTTTCACAAGAACCAGTGAAAGGTGATTTAGTCATCTTTCCAAGCAAACAAGATTCGCATGTATCATCTGACTTTAAGTCAAATGATTCCAACACTCCATCCCTTTGGAGTTGGGCAATGCGTTTCTTGTTGACATGTTCAAGATGAAAATGCCACAAGCTTGCCTTGTCTAAACCATTAGACGCATCAATTTGTAACACACTATTTCCTAAATTGTCTACAACCATCACAGTTTCATATACACCATCATAAGGTAATGCTTTAAAATAAAATACACCATTATAATAAGCATTAATAGAACCATTCTCATTATTAAAAGAATATCTAAAACCTTGTCTGTACAAACCATGAAATGAAATAACATTCCTTGTCATTTCTGACGAGTAGCAACAATTATTAAAATCTAAACTTAACCCACTACTAAGCACTATAGAGTAAATCTCAATCTTGGTAACAGGCGACGATATCCTTATTCCCATAATCAGGTTCATCTTCCCATGCTCCACATCCTCACTTCATCTTAGTCCCTGCAAGTCAGAACAAATGTGAAAACCACATACTGTATCAAGGACCCAAGAATTAGAATGCGATTAGTTTTTAGATTGAATAGTGTAAATACCTACCGAGGTTGGCTTGATCTTGCCATCCTTTATATCTTGCAAGTACTTGGGACAGCTTCTCTTGAAATGCCCCTTGTCATGGCAGTAGAAGCAAGTAGCCTCCTTAGGATAAGAGGCAGGGGGAGCTTCAAAACTAGATTTTACTTTAGGGCCATTGCTAGACGACCCGGTTTGAGACATTCCCTTCCAGTTCTGTTTTAAGGGAGCTTTCCTCTTCTTCCCCTTTCCTTGTCCAATGGACCGGACTGTAGCAGCAGCAGTAGGAGTGGATTCAATACTCTTTCCTTTCAATCCACTCTCAGCAAGCTTTGAAGCTGACTCAATGTGACTTCCTCTTTGTTCAAATGATAAATCATTTTGAACTGATCATAACAACTAGGAAATGAGTGCAAGACTATATCGATAGCAAATTCCGCATCGAAATTCACATTAAGTTTCAGTAAACGATCCACATAGCGCTGCATGCGTTGTAGGTGGTCTGTGACGGACTCTCCGTCCTTCATCTTGGTGGTTATGAGTGACTTGACTATCTCATACCTTTCTTGACTTGCTCTTTGATGGTACTTCTCCATCAAGTCCTTGCACATCTCATAAGGACAATAGTCCTTATAAAACCGTTGTAGCTCAGGAGTCATAGTTGCCACCATGGTACACGACACTTTGGTTGCGTCTTTGCATTGGGCCCTATACTCAACTATTTCTTCAGGGTTAGCTTTAGATTCATCTATCTCGTTCAGCTCTTTGTCGAGGACATATTCATTGTCCTCGAATCGCAAGGCCATCGTAATGTTACGCATCCAATCATTAAAGTTAGAGCCATCGAAAATGACCTTGGCACAAATGCTCAAGAGCGAGAAGGAGTTCGAGGAGTTGTTGTTGTTGTTGTTGGAGCCATAAGCGTTGTTTGAGGTAGATATCTGAAAAACAAGTTTTGATTAGATACGAAATCCTTAATATAACACCCAAATGAAATATTAAGGGTAGGATCCTACACAATAATTCACAATTCAGAAAATGGACGTCGTAATCCAATTGTTAATTATTTGAAGGTGGGTAAATGACGATTTACCAATTTCACCATGAAAAATGAAATATAAATGAATTTGGTTTTTAAATGAAATTCCTATATCTTTTGAGATTCATTTAACTATTCAATGGCATATTTAATCTCGATTATGCCCTTTCCATTTGTGACTGGGATACCGAGGATCACAAACAATGTGTGAATAACAATGCAAATTAGCTTGGTACTCTCGATGTCATTTATCACCTAAATAATGTGCCGGTTAACCACACACGCTCCATTAATCAATGATAATTTACGAGCTATCCATTTCCACCCTTTATAAGTCCATGTTAGTGTGTCGGTTGACCATACACGCTCCACTAACGACTTTTTATAAAGTGCAATGTGCAATTTCATGGATTAGCATCAAATTCACATTTTCCTAAAGTAACTAAGATTGAGAATTTTATAAAAAACATTTAGTTACTTTATGTATTTCATTGTACTTATTAATGATAGTTTAGTTTCCTATCAAACACGTTTGGCTAACGACCCTCCACTAATCAAGGAAGCGGTGGTTGAGAGTGGACACCAATTCAACCACCATTTTATAGGCAGTTTCCTTATACTCCCCTTATAGATCGGCTTCGTGAATGAGGCCTACTAACAGTAAGACCGACCTTTTCTTATACATATATATAAATATTAACTTTTAATTTTACTATATATATTAGGGTGTATTTTAAACTTTTAATATACTAGGGTTCTAAAATTTAAGATTTCAAAAATAAACTATTTAATTAAATTTTAAATTATAAAGCCAAAGGGTGTATTTTTAATACTTTTCAAAAATACCAGGTTAATGTTTTTTAATAATTAAATTAACAAATTAATTTTATCTTTATCTAAAAAATTTAACCCAATCATGAATTCATGATAAGGATACAAGATTGTTGATTAACTTTTCCAATTTTAAACCATTAAATTGAATTTAAGGTAATTATCCTAATAAATTCATGATAGATATGTCAGTGCCAAAAATCTGGGATCTAACAGCCCAACTCGTCGAGTCAAGACAATGCACTCGTCGAGTTGAGGCCAACTCGTCGAGTTCCAATATGAACTCGTCGAGTTCTATGAACAGAATGACGATTTTTGTTTCCTTCTCCTTTGAACAATTCACAATTGCATCATATTCAACTGAAAAATACCTAGGCTCTGATACCACTGATGGGTTTTGAGCATACCTACAAATCTTATGTGTCCATGCAACCCTAATGCTTTGGATATAGGTTTTCACTAACTGAACATTGAAACTTGAATACAAAAGAGAAACCTTAATACGCATCTATAAAATCGAATTAACCTAATACTAGGGTTTAGATTCATACCTCAATTGTTATGTAGTAATAAGAATTAATCCTTGTAGATCTTGAACTCTTGAAAGCTAGTGCCTCAAATGTGACACCTCTAATGGCTTACAAACACTCTTTGCAAAAGGATGAGAGGAGAGAAAGGAGGAGATGCACCAGAATTTCGGCTATGCTAGGGTTAGACGCCAGTCCCCAAAAATCCAAGGGATGAGGCTCCTTTAATACCTAAGGTTGCTTAGTCCCAAAGCTATGGTTAGCAGGTGGAAACCCTAATTTCCTGCTTAAGGCCTAAGCAGATAATGGACTCCTCATCTAGAAGCCTTGGATGAAAACTTATAGAGCCTCCCTATAATTTTCGCCCACTCCTATCTAAGGTGTCCAAGAGCCCTATTTCACAACTATCAATTAATTGCAAAACAACCCCTGTACTTTTAATTAATTCATTTAATCCCAAAATTAATTGCAAATTAATTTCTGATCAAATATTAATTAAATAATTATGATTTCTAATTAATATATCATTCTCAGAATATATTAATAAATCATTTATATAAATTTAATATTCCAAATAATAAATTCAACTTCTCTCCAAAAGTCATCCTTTCAAGTTGCAAGAGTGAAGGAAACCTAAAAGTATTGTGCTTCTATCAATTCAAGTATATACCAATTATAGTTATGGGCTTAGACACCTAATCCAACAGTTGCAATATCCTAAAATTCAATTTCCAAAGACAACCACCAAACCCAGACTTCTGAGAAAGAAAAAAATCCTATAACCAAACAACCAAGGGTACATACACACAAAGAAGCCTAGATATACAACTGAAAAAGTTTGATGAAGGGCCAACGCACCAAATGATCCTTCAACAATTACTACTCGAAACCCTCAAATGACCCAATAGATGCAAATAAGGAACGAAATGACCAATCAGTCGAGAATGAACTGAAAAAATAAACATGAAAGTTTTGGCATTTGTCTAATTTGGTCATTAAAGTTTTTTGGTACATTACACCACTAAACTCGTATTTGACCTGTCAATTTAGTCATTTTTCCCGCTTTTAAACAGTTTCCGGTTAACATTGTATACGTGTCAAATTTTTTTTTTATTTTTTGGCTAATCTGATGATGCTTGAGATGTCAATAAATGATATACGAAGCTTAAAACCTATCATCTTCACATGTCGACCTTCATTCTTCATTTTCACTTTAAACGAAACTGAGCTAGGGTTTGTGAAGCATTTTCGTGATCGAGCTGAAGTACTAAAGAAGTCCCTGCAATGGCACAATCAGAACTTAATGGACTGTTTGCGATGGCAGAACTCAACTACCATGGGGTATTTACTCGTAATCCTTTCTCTTACACTAGTGGTGTGAAGACCATGTTCAATGATGTTGACTTTTCTTCTATAACTTATTCTGAGTGTGTGAACTTCTTCGAACGTTTCATGCATGAAGATTGTAAAAGGTTATACTATTATGAACTAGACATTTCCCTGATTGAAGGCTTGATCCTATTTCAGATGATGTGGAATATGCTGCTTTTGTTTTTTGATGCTTATGGAACAGATGGTATAATTTCTGTTTATATGGATCATATTGGGGTTGGTGTTGATGGGTGGTTTGATGATGAAGATAATGATGATGAAGTACGTGAGTCATGTATTGATGGTAAAAATGATGATAACATAGATGAACTTAGGAATGTTGAGTTTGAATTTAGTACGGATGTAGTGCATATGAATATCACATCAATCGATCACTAAGTTATGTGTTGATGAGGAGAAGCATAACAACATTGTAGATAATGATGATGGGAGCGAATTTGAACCTAACATCCAAACTCATTCCATATTAAATGAGTTATTACACTTGAAAAAACAAAAACCAGTTCTAGGAATGAGATTTAAGAGTCCAGGGAAAATAAAATCAATGTTGTGCAACTATGTTGTTGCTAATGGATATCAACTGTGTTTTGAAACAATGATAGGAAAATACTTTTAATGAGGTGCAGTAACGGTTCTTGCACATTTAGATTATGGGCTTCCTAGATGAGTGATGAAGAGAGTTTCCAAATCAAGTCACTAAAAGATGATCATAATTGTGATAGGAACTTCAAGTTTGGATCACTAGTGACATATGCGTGGATTGGGAGTCACTATACCAAGGAGATTGTACAGAGACATAAATTGAGCGTAAGGAAGCTTATGGTAAAGGTAATGACCAAGTTTGGTATCAAACTTAGTATGGGCCAACACAGGAGAGCACATAAGTATGCACTAAATCTTATTGAAGGTAGTCTTGTTGAACATTATGGTAAGCTACAGTCTTATGGTCATGAGATTTTGAGGACAAATACTAGATGTGGAGACTGGTCCAGATGAAAAGAAGTATTTTAGCAAGTTCTATGTTTGTTTTCAAGGAGTCAAAGAAGGTTGGATGGAAGGATAATAGGTCTTGATGGATATGTTTTAAAGGTGTTTGTAAGGGGGAATTGATTTGTGTAGTTGGAAAGGATGCAAATGACAAGATATATCCTATTACTTGGACAATGGTTAGTGTGCAGAACAAGCAGAATTGTAAGTGGTTTTTGGAGATTCTCATTGATGATCTAAACTTGAATTTAGGCAATGGATTCAGTTTAATGTCATACCAGCATAAGGTTAGTATTTTACATAGTAATTCATGTATATTTATTTAAGAAAATTTGATTTGAACCTTCTTATTAATAAATGGATTGATAGAGGCTGTTAAAGAGTTTCTTCCATATGTAGAGCACAAACAGTGTGCTAGACATATTTGCTAAAATTTTCAGAATAGATCCACTAGTGCCATATATCATACCTTGTTTTGGAGAGAACCTAAAGCTACAACCGAGAATGATTTCAAATTTGTGATGAAGGAAATTGAGACATTGAACCCAGATGCCAATTAATATCTCATGGAGAAAGATCCAAAAACCAGGTCAAAAGCTTTCTCTCAACCTGACAGGTGTTGTGATGCAGTTGAAAATGGCTTCTCTGAAAGTTTTAATGTTTTAATAGTTGACACCAGGAAGAATCCCATCATCACCATGTTAGAGGGGTTAAGATTGTACGCTATGGACAGATTGTACAACATGAAATTAAAGGGACAACAATGGGGAAGTCATATTTGTACAGAGATAAGGGATATGCTGAATTTGCTGAAAAAATTTCAAAGGTATTATCAGGCATTACCTAGTGGATTAAACCAGTTTGAGGTTGGGGGAGCAGCAGATGCATATGAGGTGGACTTAGAAAGGAAAACATGTTCTTGTATGCTTAGAAATTTAATGGATATGGATGTGATCATTCTGTAGCTAGCATATCCTATCTAAGTAGGGATGTAGAAGCCTATGTAGGAAACATGTATAGCACCACCACATTTAGGAAGACCTATAATTACATAATTTCCCCCATGAATGGGAGTGACATGTGGCCAAAGACAAATTATACTCCACCATTTCCTCCTATTAGTAGAAGGATTCCTGGTAAGCCAGCTACAAACATGAAGAAATTCGCTACAGAGAGTAAAGGAAAACACAAGGTTTCTAAGGATGGAAAGAAAGTCAAATGTAGTATATGTAAGGAGACAGGTCACAAGAAGGCCATTTTTCCAGAGAGAAGACCCCAAATGTTAAATGTGAAGAAATATAAGAAACAAAAAGTTTGTGTGAAGTAGAATGCAAGACAGGTAAAACAATTTCAAATTTGAATTTATTTACATATGATTTGCCACTTACATTATTATATTATGCAATGTAGGGTACTAGAAGTGAACCTCAACAACATGCAAAGGTTAAAATGACTCCAATTTAGGTGGATACTACTCAAAATGATATTCAAGCTACTCCTAATGATGTTAAATCCAGTAGTGCAGGGGATTTTGGTCAGTATATGCAAGTGACTCCACCTAGAAGTTAGGAAGGCGAGAAGGGTGTTGTGGATGAGGAGGTTCTTGAGGTTTTTTAGGGTGTTGTGGGTGAGGAGGCTGTTAGTGCTAATGTTCAAGTTGACAAGGTTATTCCTAATGTCTAAGTTGTTGCTAATGTTCAAATTCAGGAGGTTGTTCCCAATGTCCAAGTTCATCAGGGTAGAGTCAGACCAATTTCAGAGATTTTAAAGATGATAAGGAGAAGAAAGTCAGAGAGAATCTTGAAGCTGAAATTAGGCAAGAGAGTTAGTGGTGTTGATGATCCAGGAAATTCTAAGGGAAAAGCTATTCTAATTGATTAGTGTTGGATGGTTCGTTATTTGAATTTGTCTTTGTGTAATTTGGATTTAAGGTATGTATATTAGGATGATGGTAATTTTCATTTGACTTTAATGTATGTGTATCTGGATTGTTGTTTGATTTAAGGTAATGTCTTTTTTATGTACATGTGATGTGAAAAGGTTATGCTGATCATTTTTTATTCCATGTTGTTGTTATTAGTAAATTAAGGACACAAAAGGGTACTTTGGTAAAGTTTTAAAGTATATTGCCTTTCTAAGTAAATTCATGACATAAAAGGGTATTTTGGTCACTTTTGAAATTATTTTGCATTTTTAAGTTAATTCATGACATAAAAGGGTATTTTGGTTACTTATGAAAGTATGTTGCCTTTTTAAGTAAATTCATGACATAAAAAGGAATTTTTGTGAATGCATGTGAATGTGATGAAGGTGGTCTTAACGAAAGATGGTTGTGTATATTTCTGCATGGAATAATTTGGAAATATGTGCATACATGTGAATGTGTTATATGGTCCCACATATGGTTCTTTAATGGGTTGAAAGGTCCCATTTTTCCTATACAAAACCATCCGTTGACTATTAGATGAAAATGGTCCATATGCATAGTGTACTTTCACATGGACCACTTTACACTTTATTCCTAATATAATGCCAAGCACTGCAACCAATTTAATTATATATAATAAAAGGAAAATAATTCATGCATTTTTCAATAACATAAACATATCGAAAATCTGATTATACAAAATGCCCTACGATTGGGACTTTCAGTCTGCCTTTACAAAAGTTATAAAATGCCCTTTTATTAAGGACTTACCAGCTTACAACATCAACACACCAAGGTTGACATCCCTAAATTGTAACTAAAAGAAACTTCCAAACATACAAAATGGCAATCATTACTCAGTTTTCTAGTCTGCCTTTACAAAAACATACAAAAGCTTACACCAACCCAACCACCCCCTAACTAACTACAATCACTCCCTAACTTAAAAACACAAAATACCAAGACAATAAACAATAATGCAACCAACATCCTATACCTGCCTATTTCCTTCCTCGAATCAGAAACTTCTTTCTCACTCTTTGCCACCTTACACTTCTCCTTTGACAGCATGAACTCCATTTCAGCAATCCTTTTTGTCAAATTGTTCAACTCAGAAAGATCCTCTTTAGCATATAGTTTCTGCTTCATAGAATATATAATGTTTTTGTAGTACCCTTCTTCCTGTTCATCTTCTTTCCATTCAAAGAAGTTACATTTCTTGAGCCTAGTCTGTAAATAGCCAATCCATTAAAAATGCAAATGCCTTGATTTACATAATAAATAAAGATTAAGGAAATCAGCTACCTTTAAATGTATTAACGAAATGGGTTTGATTCACGATCACAAAGATTCCTCAAGAAGAAAATAAAATTAGGGTTATTTTTTTCAAAATACAAATCTAGCAAGATCGACTTTTCATGAAGAAACACCACAGTCAAACCCTAAAATACGAAGGTAGCATGATCAGGACCTACCAAACTGCTTCGAATATTCCAGAAATGCCTCCCAAGTTTTTTATCTTTCAACATGTTCGTTCTTTATCTGGAATGTCACAATCACAAAGATTTACCCCTTCTCACACTTTACACGAGTCAATTGTAGTTGATTCCTTGAAGTGGACGAGCTGGAAGACATTGTTCTTCAGGATGGCAAGAGTCGGTGGAGAGGATGTGAATTTTCACAAAAGGGTAACTAACATTTGAATAGTGGTCCTATTTAGGGTTTCAACTAATAAGGGTTGTTGGACGAGTCACCTTCTTTAACACATTAGTACCCGACATACGTGTTACACGTCAAATTATTGGACACATCACCCAACCACAAAAGTAGGGGAACCGGTAAACTTTCTATTTTTTTTGAAAAATGGTGTAATTAGATGGTAAAAATGGAGTTTAGTGGTCTAATGTACCAAAAAAACTTTAGTGAACAAATTAGACAAATGCCATAACTTTCATGCGCTACAGTGGGATTTACCCAATGATATCATATTCCGCTGGACGAATCCCATATGGAAATACTTACACCAAATTTTGAAGTTGATCAATAGACCAACCACTACCCATTTGACCAAATTTAACCGACCCATACCACAAGCTAAGCATGCCCTCTATACCTGAAACATAACATGAGCGGCTCAAATGCTCCTCTATCAAAATTTTGGCGTTTTCGAAAGAAACTACTGATCAAAGCGCGTTCCTTACTCAATAGCTTCCTGCTGCGAGAAAAGCTCATATATCCCTTAAATCATAATCCCAAGGACAACTTAGTCTGCACTGACAATATCAATGGGATTTGATATACAATATAAGTTTGTTTTTCAAAAAAATCGGCAACGGAAGACTTTAAAAATAACAAGTTTATTTTTAGTTCATAACAAAACTAAACCATCATGGATCCATTTATAGAGGTTAGAATGAAAAAAAAAACACAACCAAAGAGTGTTTAGAATGACAACCTTTTGTAG